TGTAATTTTTATTTTTATTTGTACTGGTACAAATAGTAGTAGCTTTGTAAATTTTTATATATAGTGGTTTAATGATTCACTCTAACTACAAGTGAAAACCTTGGTGACTATGTTGTAGTAATCTACACTGTTACTATTAAAAAATTATTATTAATAAAGATATGAGTAAGGCCTCACCTTAAAACCAAAAAAAAATTGGGTTGACAACAATTTCCAAGATATTTGATTTAACAATTAGGTAGGATATGTAAAATGCATTGAATAGTAAATATTTAATTTATTTATCATTAATTATGAGCTGGATAAATTATTAATTAATAATAAACTCATATTTATTGCTCAATTTTAAAGAATATCGAATTTAAATATTTAACAATTAGAATTTACATTTTATTTGTTTGCGAATGTGGTGGTTTTTTTTAAATCTTAAAATGATTTACAAGCATGTCTAATTCAATACGAGCCCGATTTTATCTAACCATAAGGGCATAAATTATTCTTTTGCTATAAAGTTTTAACCCTAATAAACAGTATAATATGGTGCTTAATGTTTAAAAATGTCGCATTTAAATAAAAATGAAATTGAAATGCATTCAATTGGCTGGCTACTATATTGAGTATCGCAAAGGAAAAAACTGTAAATGTTGCAGGGTTTTTTCTTATTTGTGAAGTAGAGTTTTGAGCCAGTTTTATTTTCATATGTTAAAACCAATTAAAACCGGTTTTAACATGAGAAATAAACTCGGTTCCAATCTCTATTGTGAAGTTCATTGTGAAAATTCAATCACGTGATCGAAATGGGCATTCTAATTGGCCGAAATCCAAAACATATGTGTTCACTTTTTTACGATTTATTAATAAAATCGATAAAATTGGCAATATTTAAAAGGCTACTGCTCCATCAATTTAGCATTAAATTAAAATCTAAACCACAAGTTTTATTCCTTAGAACAAGAAGAACAAATCTTGTGGATTAGTTTTACATTTTATAAATTTTTAAAAGAAGAGTAGCATTTCTTGTAATGCAATTTTTTATGGAGATTTAAAGCTTCCCGCACCATAGCTTTTTTTTTTTTATCCAAGTTATACTGCACTTTTTTGACCGGCTGATTTGTTTATTTGATTCAGTTACAGCTATTTTCATATAGGGATGTTATCCTGCTTATCCAAACTCAGTTCGGGCCTGTTTGAAACCCAAACTTGTTAAACACGTGTTTATGTAATCACGTGATTTTAATTAGGAACTTTTAAACCCAGTAGGGTCGAAATCGATTTCTTAAACAAAATGTTTCATGATTTGTAATTTAATGAGTGCGTGAGAGTAAAACCTGTAACAAATAATAGCGATAGTAATTCATTAAATCTATTTTCAGGTTTTCACTCTCACGCACTCATATTATTTTTTAGCTTTTTTTTAAAAAAAAATATGTATCTCCTTGTAGAAACATTTTCAATTGCTATAAATACGTAACATTTTTTTTCTCTTATCTTTATATGATGAACGAAGAAAGCACACTCGAGCAACCTACTTATATAAATGAACTTACCTCTACATCGATTTCAACACTATCTCAGCATACACAAACTGTCCCTCAAAACGATTTAAAACTGATCCCTTCTGGAATGAGCTTATTGAAAGTGACGACAAGTAATATTGCAAACATTGCAATCAAGCTTCTTAATGAATATAGGCCTTTTTACGATAAAAACGCACTTTAAACGTAATCAGCTGGATAAGTGGAATGAATTAATAAGAAGTATTAGTAAAACGAATGTTGAGCCATATAGATCTGAAGAAAATATTAGCTTAAGCCTTTGTTTGAAAACGTGATATGAATCGGGTATGATTGAATGAATGTATGAGGGACAAAAAAAATAAATCACTGCAATGCATACGTACGTATTATGCAAATATTGATATAATTGTCCGAAGCGTTAGCGAGAACTCATATTTCTAGGCAAATTGAATACACGTCTATGCAATGTCCGGCGGAAAAAACCAATGAAAATCGAGTATTTTGGGTCCCGTGAATGATCTGCAGTCAGTGTAACACATATAACGCTTCGGACCTACATCAGATTCTGATTTTCTAGTAAATATTAAGCGAGATGTATACATTACATATTATATATTATATAATAAATAAATATACAGCAAGTTTTAACCTAACATGTTCAGGCGTGCATAATTAATAATATATGCATATAAATAGTTTAAAGCAGATTTGAAACCCAGTTTACGAATATGTTTCCAAACAGTGTTCGAACGGGTTTCAAAGCACAAAATAGCAGATTTAAGCAGGATAACATCCCTATTTTCATAATTCGGCCGATTCGATTAAGTTTGTGATTTAATAGATACGATAAATTACAAAATAGTACAGTACGTATACATGTTGGACAAGTATATAAACGAAAATTTAGTAATATTGATGCCGACATTTGTAATGTTAAAATTATAGTAGAAAAATATCATATATAATGCATATTTCTTTTATATATAAGGATATAGGGATATATCAGTATATAGGGTGGAAATTTGCGTGTAAAATTTTGATATGTAATTTTTGTTATGTAAATAACGTTGTCCAGAACTATTATAGAGCTGGCTCAGAAAGTCTAATAATGCTGGCAAAATTTTTGTAATGCAGATCAATAATCATGTGCCACTGCATTAATTAATGTAAAAGTTATGTATAATTTGTAATTTGATTGAATCTATTATGCCGAAATAATAACTTAACCGGAACGGCCGGCAGATTTTTATCAGGTGTTTCAGAAATTATGAAAACGACAGTAATTTTTTACAGTGTCCCAGTTGTAACCTGATTAGAATCGGTTGTGCCGGTTCAGTTGGATAGATTAGTGAAGCAACCAAAATTCAGCAGATCGACCAAAATTTAAGGTCGGAATGGGCCCGGAGCTAGGCCGGCATTAAGAAATAATATCAGCCCCCAATACTATAGCAAAATTATCATCTGGGCAGCTTTACTTAATACGTGAGCTACCATTTTATTAGTAAAATTTTGAGTGATTTTGGAAGAAATTTATCAATTCCGGCCTATTCCGACCCTAAATTTTAGTCGATCTGCTGAATTTTGGTTGCTCCACTAATTAATCCAATATACGTGGCAAATAACTATCACACAGCATGATTACAATGAGCAGAAGCATTACACTGCATGGCTACATATAGTAAAGTGAACGGGCAAAATTTAAAAGGTTAAAAAAATTAAAAAATCATGCATCGGGTCAACATACTAAATTCAGAATTAAAATAAATCTAATAAGGCATTGATTGAATATTGCATTAAGATTATGAAACACCTAATTTATTATGAAATTTTTTAGTCATAACTTTAAAAAAAAAAAGTTAGACCTCTATCTTGGATCAATTTCCGCGATTAACCCATGCGTTTATAAAATTGGTTAGTCAATCTCCTATAGTACGTACATAAGTACGTACGTACTTAAATTTTATGATTTAGTAATTTGTGAATATTGATCTAGCTTATTTTTTTTGAATGTTGTTTTTTTTTGGATAAAAGATCATGATCATAGCTATATAATGTATAATCAACATTATATATTCGTAAATGAATCTGTTAATAGTTGACGAACTCGAACATTTCGTATAAATAGTGGAGGATCAAAAAAAAATAGACAATCGGAAAAATGGGTTTGTTTTCTTCGTTCCGATTTCCAATATTTTTAAAAAAACCTCATCATTTCTTTCGGCGAATAACGAAATATAAAGTTTTAATAATATTAGGCCTTTTAAATTTTATATTATTTATAACTTTTTCCGTACATCTTATTAAAATACCAAATTTATTCAATTTATTTGGAGATGATTCATCGAGAAATGTTACGAGATTTGTTAACACTTTAATCGGAACTGCTAAAGGCGGTTATAGAGAATGTGGGTTTTAGTAATGTAGTTTAAAAAAATAAAGAACTATTAAAAGAAAAATTACAATTTTTCATAATTTTTGTTTTTGTTGCTAATGTTTAAATTAAATGTAGACGGACATGTGTTTCCTGGTCCTTGTCATCCTTATGGCGTCGTTAAATTAGGTTTTGATACTGATGATACTTATGAATTTAATGCTGGGTAAGAATACCTCGCTATTATTAAAACTATTTTAAAGAAATATTAAAAGTTTAGAATAAATTTTTTGTTATAATTTATTTCATAGATACACACCTACTGGAAAGATTACAGGAATTTCTCGTACATATTATTCAATAGATGCATTATTCAATAGTTTGTCTACTTTTCATACACATATATACTTATTAATCAATTATTACTTTTAAAGATTTGCATGTCAGTGGGACAGGAGGTAAGTTAGAAATAATATAATACATCTTTTTATCTACGCGTTATCATTTTTACTCATACACTGATTAAATGAATACAGGTGAACCAAAATATGGTGTAATCAGTCAATTCCCCGCGATAGATTCACCTGAAGATCCACTTGATGTAACTCATCTTAGCTCCGAACGTTCTTTTGAATATTTTGAAGTTGGTTATTCAAAATTTGGATTAGAACGTTATAATATTACAGTCGAATTAACAGCTAGTCGAAGAACAGGTCTTCATCGATATACTTTTCCTCCAACAAAAAATAAAGCTAAAGTTATTATTGATTTGCCTCATAATCTTGTTGTACATCGCTATGGGTATGTACTGTAATTTTGTAATTTTATAAAATGCATACCTAATTGCCTAATTGTTAATAATATTAATAACGTATTCATTTAGCTTCACTCATCGGTATCATGAAGGAACTATCCAATCTATCTCATCTAACCAAGTAAAAGGTGCTGCTCGTTATAGTGGCGGTTGGAATAGAGGTGGTGTTTATACTGTCTACTTCTGTTCACAATTTAACACCAACGCCACTGAATTTACGAACTGGGAGGGTAGTTATTCTTATGGATATAATTACTTTGGTGAAACAGATAAATTTAGTGATAAGGCTGATGGTGCTACTTTAACGTTTGATGTTATCGAAAATCCGGTAATCATATCAAGAGTTGGAATTTCATTTATTTCAGCTGATCAAGCATGTAATAGTGCTGAAAGTGAAATACCGGACTGGGATTTTGAAAAGACTAGACACGAAGCTGTAAAGGCTTGGCAAACAGAGTTAGGAAAGATACAAGTTGAAGGAGGAACTGATGAGTTAACCAATATTTTTTATAGTAGTTTATACAGAACCATGATAATTCCTAGTAATAGGTATATATTATTTATTATTTATTATTTATTATTGCTATTAATATATATGATTCTTTATATAACAATTTTATTATTGTGATTGTAGAACCGGTGAGAACCCAAAATGGGAAACATACGATAAAGATGGTAAATTAATACCACACTATGGAGATTTTTACACTTTAGTACGTTATTTCTTTTATGAATTCTAATAAGTTCTAGAAAAAAAATATAAAGATTCTAACTAAAAATAATTAATAGTGGGACACATTTAGGTAAGTTTTATAATGTTATTAATATCGCAACATAATAATAAAGTACTTCTTAACATAACAATAAAATATTTCATAAATGTAAATATAGAACGACGAACCCATTATTCACGCTTTTTCAACAGGAACGAGCTGTAGATATTGCTAGATCATTAATTGATATATATAAAAATGATAATTATATGCCCGATGGAAGAAGTGGATTATCGAATGGGATTACACAGGGTGGTTCTAATGCTGATATGGTAGTGGTAAGACTTAAATCATCATCAACTCTAATTTCTTCTTTCTAAATAGTATATCTTAATTGATTTATTATTATATTATTATTCTAATAGGCTGAAACTTATTTAAAAAAATTGGGCACCGATATAATAGATTGGGATCTTGCTTACGGAGCTTTAATAAAAGATGCCGAAATAGATCCTGGTTCGCGTGGATTATATGAGGGTCGATTATTTTTATCAGAATATAAAAAACATGGTTATATACCTTTCTCAGGAAGTCTTATATCTGTGTATGCATATTCGCATTGCAGTAGAACTGTAGAATATTCTGCTAATGACTACAGTATCAGTCTTGTTGCTAAAGGTAGTAAATAAAAATATTTACATTCTTTTGAATTGATTTTATGCACATTAAGATAAATTAAGATTTAATATTCATGAGTATTTATTTTATTTAAAGAAATGGGCAAACATAACGATTATATTAAATACAAAAAGAGAGCAAGAAGTTGGGAGAATCTATGGTATCCTAATAAAACTTTTGATGGTAATTAAAAAACACTTATATTCATTATACCTTATATTTTAGGCACATATTAAATTATATATTAATAATATTTATAATAAAAAAGGTGCAAAAGGATTTATCGTACCAAGATATGAGGACGGTAACTTTTATACTGACATAGACGTTTTAAGAGAACAAGGCGGTGAATACGTATTTTATGAAGCTTCATCATGGGAATACAGTTTGGATATACCGTTTGGTATGTACTTTTGCAAAATAAACATTATGTTTTTATGTTATTCGCGATATTCTATCAAGTTATCATTTTAATTATTTTACTATTAATTTAAAAATATAGATGTAAAAAAATTAATTGAATTATCCGGTGGTCCAAAAAAATTTGAAAAACGTGTCGACAAAACATTTGCTGATAAATCTTATCAAAGTGGTTATTATAATATAGGGAATGAACCTGATTTCTTTCACATTTGCTTATATCATTTTATTGGAAAGCAATATAAAAGTGTTGAGGTTATAAGAGATATTTTGAAAACTAAATTTGGAAGTGGACCGAATGGAATTCCAGGTATGTTATAAATTAGTACTAGATTAATGATAACCATTAAAAGTCCGAAGGACTAATTTTTTATTGGTTGATCATCACGTGGTAGAATTGTTTTTATTTGATTTACACTATAAATAAATAATATTTATATGTTTATTTGTTCTTATCAAATAGGTAATGATGATTCAGGGGCGATGGGAAGTTGGTTTGCTTTTAATGCAATCGGGTTATATCCATTGTAAGTTATTCGATATTAATATACTACTTTAAACACTTTAAACACGAATTTTTCTGTTCATTTTAATAATTTTTTTATTGTATTTAGGGCTGGCACGGATATATATTTAATAAACTCACCACATTTTGAAAAAACAACAATAACCCTCTCACCAAAAATAAAATTCATAATTAAAGCTTATAACTTAAAAAATGAAGATCACATAAATCCATATGTTCAAAGCGTAAAGATTAACGGTAAAAATTGGAGAAAAACATGGTTTAGACATTCAGATATCGCTAAAGGAGCAGTTATGGAATTAGTTATGGGACCAAAACCAAGTAAAGTTTGGGGTGTTATTAGAAAAAATGAAAATAAAATTGATGTAGAAGATAGAGTCGTGCCACCTAGCATGAGTGATTATGATGATATCTAAATTCTAATCTAATATTTTAAAATTAATTTTTCTAATTAGTGTCAATATAATTTTAATTAGCAAAACCCCAAAGTTAACAAGTATAATATTGGATATTCATGTGATTAATCAATTTATGTACAATACTGAACAGCATAAAATATCAAAGTTTAATTGGTTTTTTAATAAACAAAAATTCTTTTTCAAATTTTCAAATTAGTAATTTTTAAGCAAAACTATATCTTAAAAAAAGGATTTTTTTTTTTATTCATATTTTTAAAATGGAATAGCAGTTTAAACATTGTATAGTATTAATTTATAGATGTTATAACTAGTGATGGGCAAATTAGCCTTTTTTCAAATTTTATGCATGATGCATCATGTGCATGGAATTCTGGCCTGCATTATGGTAGCTTGCTGCTAATGCGGACCAGAATTATTAGATTCCGAAATAATAGTTATTCGGCACTAAGTGCCGAATAACTGAAGTATTTGCTGTATGCTATTTGATTGGTCGATTTTAAACACCGAGGTGCGCAAAATTTGTCCAGTCAAATCATATGGTAAAATACCGGTAAGGTACAATAGTGCTCTAATTAGGGTTGTTGGCACAAGGCATATGGCGTCGCCGATGGTACTTCCAAATCGGGTGGTCGTCTAAAACGGGCAATTTCACGTGATCACAGTCAATCAAATTATAGAATTTTGATCGTTGGCGAAGCAAAAATGAAATAAAAACGAAAAAGCCTAAAAAATACAAAATCGGCAGTCTAAACCTACCTCGGGTGGGTTAAGTAAAAATGTCGGGAAGGCGATTTTGCTTATATATAACAACCTAAAACCTAACCTAACTTTAATATATGACCCTAACCCTAAGGTTAATTGAGAAAATTATTAAGAAATGTGAGCTGCCCCGCTTTAGACGTCCCTCAAATCGGACATGCCCATTTAGGTATGGCGCAATGATGACGAGCCAATCACACATTTATATTAGAAGAAAATGATCGAACGCAAAATATGAGAAAGATCGGGTTAACATTTTAAAAAAATTCCGAAGTATGCAACTCGAACCAGATACAAATGATAGCTACCAATCAAAAATAAGTATATTTATCCGGCATCCTACTATGATCGGGCTCACCAAATAATCCGGGTTATTTGGTATATGATACATTTAAAATAGTTCCCACGGTCTGTTTTGACTGGGTAACTTTTTTAATTCATTAT